TGACTGGTAATTCTTTGGAATCAGGGTCTCTTAGCGAAGATATTAATCCCTCACACATGGTCCCATCTCACCTTAAAAAGGACATTCTGGAAGGCAAGGATGTCAACCTGGTGTCATTGCTTATAGCCTCCCAGGATGTCCTAGAGAATAGGACTTTTGCATATGGGGATATGTCTGTCGTACTAAGGTCTAGAGACCCGAGACTAAACAAAGATGGTGGACCTGGGGCACAAATACGGTGGTACCGCTTTTTACGATTACCACCGTTCCTTTTCTGCAAAGGTGGCTGCAGCTCTGGCTCAGTTCAATTTAAGCATTAATTGGAGCAAATTGGACACTGAGTTATTCTGCAGGCATTTTGCAGGCCTCAGGCCTCCAGCGTGTGCAGTATGCGCATCTACAGCACACCACACTAATCTCTGCCCAAACACGAACAAAACCCATCTTCCCCCAACTTTCCTAAAGCTACCAAGGGTTTAAAAGACAAGCTGGGGAGAGACATTGTATTCCTGGGTAAATCTCTGATATGCAATAATTTCAATGCGGGCAATTGTGGTTTTAGTTCATGTAGACTGATGCATGTGTGTTCACACTGTTTTAGAGCCCATGCCAAAACCATGTGCCCAAATAAAGCATTCCCAAAACCGTATCACACGTGTGTGAATGTCACTTTATTGACATCACTTTTACAGCCACATCCTTCACGTCATTTCACTCAATATATTATTTTGGGCATGACCGAGGGTTTTCACACCGGGTTGGTCCATTTACCCTCCGGTACACTGGAATGCGAAAACCTACAGTCCACATTAGACGATCCACAGTTGGTAAATACACTTATCTCAACTGAGTTGGAACAAGGGTTTCTATTGGGACCATTCTTTTCCCCACCCTTCACGTCCTGGAGAACCAATCCTATAGGGGTGGTCACAGGAAAGACCTCACTTAAACCCAGACTGATAATTGATCTATCAGCACCACACTCCTCCACTATCCTCAGCCTAAACTCTCTAATACCTTCTGAAGAATTTTCACTGCACTACGCCACTATCGACCATGCCATAGGGGCCATTATACAAGCAGGTACGGGAGCATGGCTGAGTAAAACAGACGTGGTAAACACCTTTAAGCTACTACCCATACACCCTTCCCTGTGGCATCTACACGGTATTAAATGGCAAGGGAGGTATTATTTTTTCACCCGACTAACTTTCGGCTCCAAAAGCAGTCCACGTATTTTTGACACGTTTGCAGAGGCTCTATGTTGGCTCTTACTAAATGTTGGCTCTTACTAAAAAGTGCCCTTCGGTTATCCATTATCTGGACGATTTCCTCTTGATTGAGAATAACACTCTTCCACCTAGTAGTTTGAATCACTTATTGGCACTGTTTGAATCTCTTAACATTCCTGTCTCTCCTCACAAAACTTTGGGTCCAGATACCTACATGCAATTTTTGGGCATACAACTAGACACGATAAACATGCAGGCCAGTCTACCTCAGGACAAGATTGAGCGTACCCTGGCAAGTATTGAACATTACCTGCTACAAGGTCAGTGCAATCGGAAAGAACTCCAATCACTACTTGGATCGCTCAATTTTGCCATGAGGATCATACCCCAAGGTAGATCTTTTATATCCCACCTGTTATCCTTGTTTCCACTGTGTTCTTCGGACATTTCACATATCACATTAGATGTACACGCAACTTCTGATTTACGCATGTGGCAGGTCTTTATCACCTCTTGGAACGGGCGAACCATGTTTATACCACCCCCTCCGACACTTCACCTACACTGTGGACAGATGCTGCAGCTAACACAGGCTTTGCCGCCATCTGGGGTGACCAATGGCTTTGGGGCCCTTGGCCAACTGAAGTCGAATCACTACCCAAATTTTCTGACACCTCAGCTTTATTCGAGTTGTACCCAATTGTGGCGGCAGCCATTGCTTGGGGACCATATTGGTCTGGCCACACGGTCAGGTGCTACTCGGATAACCTGGCTACATGTCACATTGTGAATAAAGGCCGTTCGGCATCACTGGTCATTATGAGACTGCTAAGGCGTCTCACATGGGTAGCAGCCACTTGTCAATTCTTTATAACATGCATACACATCCCGGGTTACACAAACACCGCTGCTGATCACTTGTCTCGGTTTCGTTTCCAGGCTTTCCGCTCGTCACTACCCAACGCTTCCAGACGAGCGACACCTGAACCTCTTTTCCAAGACATGATCATGGATTAAAGACCTTGTTAGGGTTTCACATTCACGACATGTTTGCATTAGAGACGATTTTGAGGTTTACCTCTTTTTGCCACATTAAAGGACCACTATAGTGCCAGGAAAACATACTCGTTTTCCTGGCACTATAATGCCCTGAGGGTGCCCCCACCCTCAGGGACCCCCTCCCGCCCGGCTCTGGAAGGGAAAGGGTTAAAAACTTACCTTTTTCCAGCGCTGGGCTGGAGAGCTCTCCTCCTCCGTTCCTCCCCGTCGGCTGAATGCGCACGCGTGGCAAGAGCTGCGCGCGCATTCAGCCGGTCGCATAGGAAAGCATTTATAATGCTTTCCTATGGACGCTGCGTGCTCTCACTGTGAAAATCACAGTGAGAAGCACGCAAGCGCCTCTAGTGGCTGTCAATGAGACAGCCACTAGAGGATTAGGGGAAGGCTTAACCCATTCATAAACATAGCAGTTTCTCTGAAACTGCTATGTTTATTAAAAAATGGGTTAACCCTAGAAGGACCAGGCACCCAGACCACTTCATTAAGCTGAAGTGGTCTGGGTGCCTAGAGTGGTCCTTTAACCTTAAACTATCCTTCAATACTATTAAACTGTACCTTACCGGCATCCAACACCATATGCTCATCCAACAACCTAACAGTACTGCTTTTCTAACCTCATACCAAATTAAAACATTACTTAAAGGCATTAAAAAATTAGATACACATGTTCCCTCACAAAGACTACCTATACACAACAACATCTTCCACTCTCTATCCAACCTATTAGATTCATCTCCTTTCGAACCCATGACAAATAGTACTATCAAAACAGCACTAGCGAATTCACAACCACAACCATCAATGCACCTGACTACCTCAGGCGGCTGTGGCATTTAAAGGGCCGGTGATGGGGGCGCAGGGCACCCCCTCCTATATGGCGCCCTAGGCGGCTGCCTAGTTCGCCTTATAGGAAGCGCCGGCCCTGCGGCCATGTGATCGCTCTTTAAGAGCGATCACATGACCCCCGGGACCTGATTTAACATGGGAGGGCAGTCCTCCCGAAGAGGATCGCGGTGAAGGTGAGTACCGTGGAGCTCCTGGGGACTTAAGCCGTTACTGCGTTCTATGCCACCGCAACGGCTTTAAAGCCCATTATAATGGGGACGGCATAAAACGGCGTTAAGGGATTGAGTAAGCAGTTTTGGTGTATAGATCATGCCCCTGCAGTTTTACTTCTCAATTCTCTACTATTTAGGAGTTAAAATGTTTTTGCACCCTATCCAAACCTCTCTGCATGTGACTTACACAGCCTTCCTAAACACTTCCTGGAAAGAGTCATCTAATATTTATACTTCATTTATTACAAATTCTGCTTAATTTAGAATTTCTTACCTGCTTTTTTAATGTCTTGCTAGAACCTGCATCTAGTTTCAGTGGAAATTGTGCTTTAATTTTTATTTCCTTTTCATTTTAATTCCAATATGTTTATATGCCAGACACAGGGCCGGACTGGCCCACCGGGATACGGGAAATTTCCCGGTGGGCCGCGGCACCTGGGGGCCGGCCGCCGGGCCATATGGCAGCTTCCCCGGTGGCCCTGCTCCTCTCACTGCCAGGGGCGGGCTGGGCCGGGGGGCAGGGAGGCAATTGCCCCCCAGGCCGCCCTAAATTCCTGTAAGGCCGGCCGCGGCGGGCCGGCCCTTTAAATACTGCAGCCGCCTGAGCACTCTGTTAAGAGCCTCAGGCGGCTGCAGCTTCTCCCCTCCCCTCCCCTGTAGCGTGGCCGAGCTGCACTCCAGTCCGCGGTGGCCGGCCAGCCGGCCGGAGTGATAGGAGGGTGCACACTGAGTGTGCACTTCCTGTCAGTCCGGCCGGTTACAGGAAACAGAAACCCTGTTCCGCGCGGAGTTTCTGTTT